AGTGTAAATAGGTATTTGCACTTAGTGTAAATAGCATATTGCTAAAAATACTGCTAATTTCACTTAGTGTAAATAGAATCCATTGCTAATACGAGATTTGAAAAGGGAGGAAACAAAAGTTCGGCAAAAGGCGGGATCGAACCCGGGTCGATCTCGTGCTTATCCATCTGTGCCACTGGAGCTGATGGTTTACATCCACTTTTAACTAAATGTAAATAGACACCCCGTATTTTTTTATTCCATAGTAAGGGCAATTCATACAACACATTTAAACTGAGCTACTTTAATACCAGCTCTGAACTTTCTACCACAACTCTGCTGTTCTTCGGCTGGTTCTTCCTGTATACGTTGATTGACAGATGTCTCGTCCAGTCAGCGGTGAGTAATCCCAAACCAATGGCGCTGTCTCAAACTATACCTACCTCTTCCGGTTTGTCTGATTTGTCGTTGTGTTTTCTGACTTGTTAATTTGTTTTCGGATTTGTCTTGTGTTTTCTGACTTGCTATTTTGTTTTTGAATTTGTCGTTGTGTTTTATGACTTGTTATAATGTTTTCTGAATTGTTATTTTGTTTTTTAGACTTGCATTTGCGTTTGTAATTTGTTATTTTGTGTTCAGAATTGTGATTTGTTTTGCACTCCTCGGTCACCGTAGAAGGTGTTGAGAGTGCTTTGACAATAATAACTCCTAAACTACAGAGGGCGATAAGTGTAGCAAACTCGTAATTTTCCCTCTGACGAAAGAATACACGAGAGCTTCCGCTGCTTAGTGTGCCGTTCGTTGAAACGGTGTTGAAAAATTGGCGAAAGTTGCAAATACTGCCCTTTCCCCCTCACATTTCGCCATTGTAGTAGTTGTTTTCTATGTAGATAAAATATTGCGCATGGAGTATTTGGCATAAGCACATAAACGATGTCTGCGATGTTCGAGGGGAATGCCTTGTCAGCCATGCAGACGTCTCACTGCCACACTCCTCTAAACAATTACAGGTGAGCAGTAATAGAATAATCATATATGTTACCAATAACTTATAAAACATTGTATCAGTTTATGGAAGGAATTCCAATTTGCATTAAACTGCGTTATCGGTATGAATGAACAAAATAGTGTTCTCTTTTTAATGGCATGAACGAAGGTGGTTTACTTAGTCTGAATTATATTAATGATACAGAGAGCAGGTGTTTGCCAAGTTCAGTCCAGTATGTTAGTAAAGGTAAAATAAATAAATAAAAAAAAACTACTGGGAGCATAAATCCCCATTGTAACTGTATGTCCATTTTGCATACAATATCATGTATTGCCTTCTCTGTCAATGCATTTCTGTTATTTCAGGTTCAGTCAAATTTCCTGGCATAGTAAACGGCATTACATTGCCAAAGCATTAGTAAATATGCAGTTTTTTGTATATTTATACAATTTTGTTTTACTGTTATTGCCGAGAATACAGTGTATGAAACACATTGACATTTTGTGACAGCATTAATAAAATGTGGCATGGTGTCACACTGTATATGGGTTAGTTGGAATTAGGGCTGCACGATTAATCGCATGCGATATTTAACGCGCATCTTGTCAGTAAAGACGGTTCTGTAATCAGCGGTAAATCTCAGTCACCTGAGGGCTTTCACATTGAGCAGCATTAACTACACAGAGCCGTTGTTCACTGACGAG